TTAAGGTTTCTAACTACAGAAAAATATTAAGGCTTGGCTTTATGTACATATGCGTATAATAAAAATATCAATTGAAGATATTAAATCATTTTATACTTTCTTGTGGAAAAGATAAATATTAAAAATAATACCACACTCAAAATAGATTTCTCCTCCGGGATTGGAAAAATTTAGAGTCAAGGGCCATTGATTTCAATTTTTAAAATGCCTTTCACTCAATAAATATGCCTAATTTAAAAACATATTACCTTTTAAATTTTTTTAATTTACAGAAAAACTCGTTATGTTCTCCAAGTTTTTAAATTTTAGGGTGAATTCTTTTTTGAGTACAAGAAACAAATAAAACAGTTTACATTTAAAATTCTCAATGTTATTATAAATAAGTTGATTTGTTTATAAATGAAGCATAAAGGTAAGAAAGACGATTTCGTTATGTAGCACACGATATTTTTGTTCTTTTTTTAGTTCTACATTTCTTTTATCATCAACCATTTATAGTTTCCGCACACAGTTGTTACGTCAACCCTCACTTGAAATCATTAATCAAAAATACTTCCCAAGCCGATTCCGTTTGGGAGATCCTCCACTTTTTGGAACACTAATGGCCTGCGTAACAGCAGCAGGACGCAAAAGCGTAACCGAAACCAAATCCTGTTCAGTGGGTTGTCGTTTTAATTGTTGTTCCTGAGTGCCGCTTGCTGGGCGATTTTGGGTTCAGGGTTCTGGGTTCTACGTTCTCGGTTCCCTGCCCCCGGTTCTCGGTTGTGGGCCCATTGTTGGCCGTATCTGGCAGTGACTGCAGCTGTCAATTAAACGCTGATTGACTTTGCATTCGCTGGACACGGATTGGCACACGATGCGTATGATTAACGCCGCTTGTGCTGCGAACCTGTGTTTCGCCCTGCTTCTGCTCCTCACCGCAACTCTTCACTCTTTGCCTGGGATTTGGTCATTTGCAAATGTACACGGAAAGAAATACAACAAATACCGATCTTTATAATCGATTTTTTTAAACAAATGTTTACTAGATATTTCTATTGAGTTGGAATTCGAGTTTCCTGAATAAATGGATGGTACTGGAAATTTAAATATTGGCTCTGCCTAATTGAATATATTTGAGTGCTTCATATTTAGTTTACTTAGTGTTGATACTTCCATTTCCCAAAAATGCAGTTTCCTTTGATTTGATATGAAAACTAATCATAATATTATATCTGGCAAAGAAAAGGTAACATTAGATAGAACATTTGGGGGGATAAAACTGAACACAATCAAAGTATTGTTAATATAATAGAATTATAATGATAGAACTAAGTTGACAACAAACTCTTCCTAACTTAAATTGTTCAATTGTTTTTTTTCCCTGTGCTCTTGTGAGTGTGCTTCATTTAACTTGGTTGCGGTGGACGGGTGTGCTGAAAAGTGGTTTGCGGCAAGGAGGAGCTAAAGCCGACGAGCTTTAGCCGGAGCTGGAGCTCGAGGAGGATCCGGAGAAGGAGGAGCTGGAACAGGAGCAGCAGCAGCAGTTGTTGACGTCCCAAGCCCATTACCCGGAAAAGTAGGCCAAGCGCGTTTGAAGTTGCCACTGCGTTTGTGTGTGAGCTGGCTGCTATTTTTATACGCCTCAAGTAGAGCCAGCGGTTCGTATTCCCCATTTCGCTCATGATAACTCGCCCCGTCTCTGTCTAGGCCCATATATTCCCATCTCTTTCGGGGCTGTGCCAGTTTTCGGTTTCGTTTCAGTACGCCTTTGGCCACTGTTGCTTCTAACGCACTTCAAACTGCCGCGGCGCTGACCTACTGAGCATTATTAGCCGGCTCCGGCCCACGGCTCACGGCTCGAGTTTTGGCCCAAAGTCCCGACGTCAGTCAGCCGTCGAAAATCGATAAGCAAAAAAAAATAGAGCGAACACGAGAAAGGTTAACCCCAGGTCTAAAACGAAGTTATGCATACCCTTGAAGACTGGATATCAAATTGCTTGGTCATTAAAATTGTTAAAGTCTAATAACCTAACCTCTGATGGTTACAAATTCGTCGATCCCATCGTATTTTCTTTCATTTTGTTTAATAATTAGATTATTACTCAAAGCTACACTCTTCCTTTGATCTAAAGAACCCATTGTAAAGAGATAACCCTTTCGGAAATTTCTTAATTTTTTGTTACCACCCAAATAAAAATGCGCAAATGTTGCGCATGCAAAATATTTAAATATTCAAAAGCTACCTTTTTCAAATTTGAAAGTATCTAGCTGCACACCAATATTTTCAAAAAAATAAAGTAAACTGAAATGGCTATTAAAAAGGCAATTTAAATGTTCAATTTTATCGTATTTCCTTCTCAGTAAACATTGAAGCCCAAACCGCAAAAATGATTTAGCCAGCAAACGCAAAGTTTGCAGAAAAATGTTTGTTCTGTTTGCAATATGGAGGATGTATCAATTAAATAGGTAATAAATTGAATAAATTATATATTTTTTTAAAAACCTCTATTTATAATCATGACAGAGCACCTGTTAGGTTTTACCCATTTTTTTAAGAAAATACTTAATTGCTCTTCAAAGTAAACAATTAAAGAAAAGATTTTAAGTAAGATTGTAGTACGTTTGTTTTATGGCACTGTTTTATGGTCTGGTAAAGTCAAAGTCGAAGGATTTTAGTTTGAAATTTAAATTTTCGGAAGTTTCTAAGGTTTTGGAAATATTTTTTTAAAGTCGACCTTCTCTATTGTAAACAAGGAGGTTTGGGTTCCATTTTATAGCACATTTCCCTTTAAAAAGTGCAGTCAAACTTTAAAGTCACGTTGCCAAGGTTTAATTTTATAACAGGGCACGATTTTTCGACTGTTAAGGAGATTTTTAAGAAGTTCTTCTAGGGTATTGGGCGTCTTAACGGATGTGTGTCCTTTAAGCCATGGCCAGGCCAAGCCAAGACTTTCTGATGCCGCTGGAGCTCTTGGTCTAGCCGCATTGACTGCGGCTGCTGGTTGGGTAGGTTGGTGGTTCGAGGCTGCAGTTGAAGGTTTCTGGCTGTAGGTGTTGGTTCCTGGGCTTGGCGGCTGTGGCTCTGGCTGTGGCTGTTTGCTGGTGTCGTGTGGCTGCGCCTTTTGACCCACCTAACCGCCCCCGCAACCCCCCCAACCATCGCAAGCTCTTAGCCAAATTGCTGCAGCCAAAAAAGGGGGGGGGGGAGAATGGAAAGGAGCAGGAGAAAGTGAGCCAGTAAGAGCGAGGGAAAGGAAATAACTTGTAAACTTGCGGCACGCAATTTGCAATTACTTAGGCGACTGTTGCAAAAGAACATTAACGCATGCAAAGGACAAAGGCAGAGCGTTGGCCAAAAAGCAAAAGTTCCCTGGAACTATTTTCTATTGATTTAACAACCATAAGGGAAACAACCAAAAGGGAATCTGTTTTTGCCGCCAGTTTCGGTTATTAAAGCTGGCCAAGATTGCGTATACGCCGTGTGAGCCAAGCACGCTTTTCACGCCGCCTGTTTCACTCTAGGATTTTTTGTGTTCGGGGTTTTATGAAGCCACTTTGCCACCGGTCATTCAGCTGGCCAAGGTGGTGTTTTGGCCAGGGTAATTACCCGCACTGGCTGGCCAGTCGATGGGCCAGCAAACGATTTCCGCTGCGATTCCGTGGCACTTCATTCACATTCACAATCACAGGCACATGGCACGCTACACACTCGCTTGTTTGCTCTGCCAATTTTCCCCTTTGCGGGCCACAATTTTCTCACACATCTATCACCGTTTTACGCGCGCATTTTCCAGGTCAGCAACACGCCCGCACGCCACGATGCTTCTTGGCCAAATGAATTGCCCGCTGGCCAACAGCAGCCGCTTCGCTCAAAGTGAGTTAGCCCGAAAGGGGGTCCCGCTCTCTACGCCCATGCGCACTGCATGGACACATGACTCTGGAGAGGATTTTGGTGAGGAGACTCTTTGGGCTGGGTGCTCCGTGCTCCTAGAACCCCGCTCGCAATATTTACAATTTGAAGCTGCCAGGCGGCGGATTTCGACGCCGCTTCGCCTTCATTCAACTGTCAGATTTTGGGAGAGACACTGAGAGAAATGTCCCAAAAGGAGAGAGGTTGAGCGAGAAAGTACTGGAGCGCAAGCTCCTTTGCACAGGGGCGTCAGCACTAGAGCTTTGGGAGGATATTTCAATTCAAGATTATTTTCAACTTTACATATTTCAAATAAATGATATTGTGGTAATAAAACTAAAATTATCCTCTATCAAATAAAACTATTATTTCTTAAATTTACAATATTTTTTAACCCAAAATATAATAGATACCTTAAATAAAACGACAACATTCAAATTTATAATTTGAATAACATTATTACTTAAAAATATTACGATATTTTATAGAAATAATAATAATAAAATAAATTATTAAATATGTATTAATACAATACATTTAATTTAATAGTTATTTTAACGCGATATATGATTTAAAATATTCCAATTTTTTTTAACACTTAATAAATTTAATTTATAAAATGTATAATAAAAATTGTAATTTTATTATCAACATATCTTAATTGTTTGATTTTTATATGAAAAAGTATTGAAATCTATTGGTAACAACTTTCTTAAACGTAAAGTGTAAAGTAACTCCACTAATAAATATAGTATAAACATTTTTTTGTCAACTTTCAATTTAATATAGGTCATGAATAAAATAGTTTATTGTTAAAACTTTAAGTGAACATTTTAATTCATTTTAAAAAGCACAACAACTTTTTTAATTTATTCATTTTTAATTGTTTGTTCTTTCTTGCTTTTATACCGGTGTCACCCTTAAGTTAATTTATTTAGTGTTTTCAATAATGGACGTCAACAAAAGCCGGCAAATTGCTGCTGAGGCAACCAACAACAAACCGCCTGCGCCTGCTCCGTCGTCCAGGACAACCGTTGGCCAGAATAAATAAGTTCCCAGGTGTCAAGTGGTGGCTCCCCCCTCACCTGGCCAAATGAGCTCCAGTCGACGGTTGGCAGCGCCACCGCAAGGCAGCCAAGGAGTCAAAGTTGCGAGCAGCGTGGAGCGTGCCGAGTTTTCCCAAACGGGGAAGTGGAGTGGAGCAGGAGGAGCACCTGCCCCAACCGGGGGGGCCAGGTGTCAATCACAAAGAACGCATCAAAATCGCTGGCAATCGAACTCAGTAAACAATTAGCCACAACTCGGCTGGCATCAAAATTCAAAGTTTGAGCCTTTTCACAGTTTCGACAGTACTCGATACAAACTACAGAAAGACACACGTATTCCCTAGAACGTTTGACAACGCTTTTTTCCCCCCAAAAAACAAAATACACACCGAAAAGCGAACTTTAAGAGCCAACGAAGGATACGATTACAGGATGTCGGAAGCTGGAGAAAACTCTGATGAGGAGTACTATGCAGAGGAGTCATTCGAGGAGGACTCGCAATCGGAGGTGGAGGAGCAGGAGGAGGAAGAGGTGGAAGAGGTGGAGGACGAGGAAGATGAGAACGTTGAACTGGAGAAGCCCAATCAAAATGGAGCTCTTCTCTTGGACGAGAGCGACACGCAGAGCGAAAGCGATGCGGAGGCCGAGTTCATTCGCGGAAACGTAAGTCCTCCAGCTCCAGTCCAGGAGCTGACCATTTCCCAGTTCAGCCTTAATCCCCAAACTGCACCACGCCCACAGCCACACGCCCGTCGCCAAATGGCCGGCCGATCCTCCGGCGGTTTCAATCGCGATCGAATGGTCTCCTACCCGAGCTCTTCCTCCGAGGACGAGAGCCAAGTGGTCATCACCAAGACGGTGGCCGAGGTTAATCAACTCAGTCTGCGACTGGACACGCCGCTGGAGGATGATGCGCCCTCGGTGCGCACTCTGGTGCCAGGCAGTGCCCATTCCCGGACTAAGGATGAGGTCGTTGACGATGACGAGGATGCTGAAGTCGAAGAAGTCGAGGAAGTCGAAGAGGAGGAGGAAATCCAAAGCGGCGATGACGATGCTCAAAGTGATGGTACCATGGAGTCAAACGATGGTCGTCAATCAGGCGAAGAAACCGATGAGGATGAGGATGAGGGCACGGATGTGGAGGTGGAGCAACTGGAGGAGGATGAGCCCATTGTCACGGCTATGTGTAGAGAGAAGGTTCAGGAGAAGATCCCGCTGCCGCTGCAGGAGGACATTGTCTCCCTGGTGGATGCCAGTGATAACAGCAGCGAGCACAGTGTGGCCACCATGTGCATGGCTGGAGAAGACACAGACGTCACTTTGGAGGAATCTCCTCGATTCCAAAAGCAGGTAAACTGTTTGAAATATATATTAGATAAAAAATTATAAAATATTCAATGACTATGCAGCAACCTGGAAGAGAAGCAGTGATAGAAGAGGAGGAACCTGAGGAGGACGTGCTGGAGGACCACTTAAATAATCTCAGTGAACTTCTAAATAATGAGAGTCCCTCACCAACTCAACAACCAGATCTAGCGAGAGTCCGGTACCTGGAGCAACAGATGACCCAGATGTCGGAGATCATTATGAAGTCCTTTCAAATAAATGGAGGAACACCTAACAGCCAAGCCTTCGAGCAGCTGGCCATGGCCAAGGACCTGATGCAACGGCGCAGTCTCAGGCTAGAGGAAACGGAGTCCGAGATGGCATCGATGACGGAATCGGCGATGACCAGTGCCCGCAGCTTGGGTGGAGGAAGACCACCGATTAGGATGCGCATGCAGCGCTCCCAAGAGGCCCTAATAACCACGCGACCTTCCAAGTTGATCCGCCCCAAGTGCCGGTGTCCTTTGGAGTCGGAACTGCTTGACCAGGAGCAGGAAATGCAGATGGATCAGCAGTTGGCTCAGAAGCTGGGCCAGGATCTGGAACCGAACTTAGGTATGGGCATGGGACTCGATGAGGACTACCTCGTAGACGAATGCGGCCAGGGAGATGGACTCATGAGGCATCCACAACAGCGCAGACCCGCGGAATTCAAAAGACGTGCGGCCAGCGGCACTCCCAGCAGCTTCAACAGCGATGGATGCGAGTATCCAATCAATGTGTCCCGTTCACGCTGCTCCAATGACAAGGTCAAGTGAGTAGTTCTCTCAAAATATGAAAGCAATCATATAAATCTCCTTCCGCTTAGCTACAAAAACCTTGGCCGCAAGAGCTTTAGTTTTACGAATCCCCAAGTGCGTGAGATCGAGCGCCAGAATCAAATCCTACTCCGAAAGATGATGACTGTGAAGCCCACGGCCACGATAAAGGCAAGCACCAGTAGCCTTAAGATCGGCGGTCCTGAGAAGGTAAGTACATGTTGTGGCCCATGATGTTTAATATTGATTGCGATCCTTCAGCAGCGTCAGCCACCGCCGGCAGCACGTCTCTCCAGTGCTGCCGTCAACCGGAAGAAGTTCCAGCGCCAGATCGATCTGGATAACGATCTGCTCAAGCGGAAACTGGAGGCCATCGGCACCCGGCGACCGCAATTCAAATGACGCCTCCACGGGCAGCTCCAACTGTGTTCATTATGTGTTTAGAAGTGTTTAATGCGAATTTACAAAATTAAAATTTATTGCAAGTTGAGAAATGTAGGAAACTGTATAATCTTTACCTAATTTTGGGGGACTAAAGTATTACTAAGGCCGAAAAACAAGCCAACAAGTTGTAAAATGTAAAGTGAGCTTAGTAAAAATGTAAACATTTTGATTCTTACATAAAAACTATTCCTTAAATGTCAGTTGAATCAAAATATCAAGTTGACATTTTTTTTTTTAAATATCTAATGCGATTTAAGAAGTTGAGATTGTACAAATATAAATAATTCAACTGGGAAAACCCTAATAATCAAAAAGATTTGTCAGCTATAAAATTGAAGTAATTGAAAACCGTAAGCAAAATATTAAATGCAATTTCTTAGGACATATCAACAAGATCACAGAGTTACCTCGTTGATCTTGGTTAGAAATGTTTCACCCAATGCTTTTACAGCTTTAAAGGCAGCATCTCCATTCTTATTTTTAAATTCGTCTTCGTTTTTGAGCTTGGCCTTCTCGCGGCGCTCCAATTCGCGATATATAACTTGACCGATCTGTAATCAAACAAGACATTAGATTTTTATTACAAATTAAATAAGTTTCAACCTACATAGACATCGATAGCGGCGTACATCAGTTGATTCTCGTCCAGCGGAATGACATGCCACTTGCTCATGCGCACCTTCTTGCTTTTGTCCTGGCTTTTCTTGGCTATAAAGTTGGTCAAACGCTCCAAGCTCCACCGACCGCCGGTCTCACAGACCTCATTGCACCACACGCCCAGATCCACGCATTTCTCGATAAGAGGTTCAGCGGAAACCTCGGGAAAGTCCCGCGCCAGCTTACGGAAATCACTAAAAAGAAATAAGAGATTAGTTTGGTTTATTTATTTTAATCGTATTACTAACCTCTTTATGTTTACGCCATGCAATCGCACTTTGGGATGATTGATAAGGGCCACCAGGACCGCGGGCAGTTTCTTCAGATTCGTCAGCTGGTAAATGTAGCAGCACTTTTCATCAACGCAGATCTGGATGACGGCGGACTTGCCGGGACCGGTTTGGAAGGAGAAGGGCCACTCCATATCGAAGGCCATAGGCACTACCTCGTCCGTCTGCTTCTCCACCCATTGCCTGAATGGAAATTCACATTACCTTGACATTCCATCTTTAAGGACTTGGTTTTTAACTTACAAAACTTCGTCGGCAGATGCGGCTATGTCCTGATTTTCCGTGTAGTACTTGATGGCTCCCGTGTACTTGATAAAAGGCAGCTTCTCGGGCTTTTTCTTTTCCGGAGACGGTGACCCCTCCTCAGCCATAGATCGTGTGCTTCTGGTCTGCCTGGCGCTCCTGCGCTTTGGGGGATTCTCAGTCTCAGCCGCAATCTTCTCGTCTTTCTATATAGGCATTGGCAATTACTATATTATATTTACTAGATATGAATTTTCTTACCTGTTCTGGGGTATCTAGATTCTTTCGCTTGGTAGCAGGTCTGCCAGGTCTTCCTTCTTTCCTTTGCTTCGGGGTACTGTCCTCGCCGGCATTTTCCTTGTCCTTTAACTATACATAAAATAGTTATTAGTTAGGTTTGAAAAGATAAGCCAACGTTTGTATGAAAGTCCAACATGCATTTGAGATTACAATGACTGTACATATCAAATATGTTAAACAAGAAGAAAATATGTACAGCCTTAACAAAGAAATATAAACGCTATTTACAATTGTAACAAATTTCATAGATTTATAAACAAAAAAGTACAGACCTCTTTTGGAGTATCTTTTTTTGTTTGTTTGGCCGACATTTTGGGCGTCCCCTTCTTTACGACCGCATTTTCCTAAAAAGTATTGTAAAATTAATCTTAATCACTTAGTTTACGGTTTATTTAACTAACTTGCTTGACCACTTCGTTTGCTTTTGATTTAACAGGCATTTTTATTAAGTATTTGTCCATAGCCCGCGTTTTCGCTTCTGTTTTCTTCGATGTTTTGTTTACTACTCTTTCCCGCCAAAAGTAAAAAGGGCATCAGCTCAAAAATACCAAATTATTACAAAAAAATACTTATATATCGATAAATGGAATTTAGAGAATTTCCCGCTAGATTTCAAAATGAGGAACGGTGGAAATTGAAACATGGAGACTATATTGTAAATAGAAGAAAGATTCTTAAAATTAATAACATTTAAGCATATGCAAGGTATTTAAATTTGCATCAAAAAGAAAAAATAGATATTTTGTGGTACACTTGAAAAATTTTAATCGGTATTAGTATTTATTACAGCCAAACGGTATATCTTATCGATAATTCCGCGGGCCAATCGCCTATAAGCCGCATTGTTTTGTTTATATTGTTTTATATTGTGGATTCTCTTGAAAACCACTGAAGACATGTCCCTGGCCAACGTTTCCACCCACTACATATCCGAGAAGGTGGCCCGGGTGCGCTGGCTCCCTGAGCAGCTGCAGCAGAGCGAGCGATTCGTCACCGGCAGCTGGGACATGGACAGGAACTTTGTGCGCCTCTGGAGGCTTCAGTCGAACCAGTATGCCACCGCCACGGAGTCGGACAATGTAGACAATGTGCCGCGTTGTATGGACAAGGTGGCGATGGAGGACGATGTGACCGCCATGGAGTTTGTGGACAAGGACACGCTGGCTGTGAGCTGCGCCGATGGTGAGTTTCTCTTTGGGGAATCCAAGTGAACATATAATGACTTCTACTCTCTATCCATCACCAACTAGGTCACCTCAGCGTGTTCAATGTTCAACGAGCCGTGGAGGAGGATCAGATGCAGCGTACGGCCAGATCCGAGAGGCTGCACTGCTTCCAACGTAGCCAGGAGTCGGCTCCCTGCACCGACCTCTCCGTCTACGGCACGGATATTGCCACCGCCGGCGAAGATGGATGTGTGAACATCGTCTCCGTGGGAAATGTGCGCCAGGTGAAGCGCACCATCGAGGCGGACAGCATGGCGCTGTTTTCGATTTGCTACATCAGCCAACACGAATTGGTGGCGGCCAACAGGATGGGCGTCATTCGAATGCTGGACGGACGTGTGGCCACCGAGGCACAACCAAAGCTGACGTTCATGGTTGCCTCTCAGGATGACAAGTCCTCGAACTTTGTTTCGTCGCTCTCTACGCATCCCATGCAACAGCACATTCTGCTCTGCGGCAGCGAGGAGGGTTCGATAACGGTGTGGGATCTGCGCAACCTGAACTATCCCGCCTCCTATCTCAGCGCCCACAAGAGCCCTATCAACGAGATTGGCTTCCATCGCAAGGATCCTAGCAAGCTGTTCACCGCCGCTGAAGGCGGAGAGGTGTGGATGTGGTCGGAGAACAAAGTCCTCGGCTGCGATTCAAGCAAGAAGGATGGGAATAGCCCCTGGTTGTCTGGCGATCGAGTTCGCTCCCTGGTCGATGTGGAGGGCGTGCTGACCAACATCCGCAAGGCCGTCAACTCCTTCGATGTCCATGGAAGCCGTCTGGTCTGTGGAGGCGACACGGAAGCTGTTTACCTTGTCGATAACATTGCCTAAAGTTTTGTCCCTTTCATACAATATAGAATTTTCCAATTGTTGTTCTTGCAATTTTCTTTTCAATTATGTATTTAAGGACGGGTAAATGTGTAAACGCAAAAGTAAGCAGCGATTTCAATAGTTGTATTATTTAAATTTCATATTTTATTTATAGTTTTCTTTGATATACTCAAAAATTGGCTTAAATCAAAGCACCTGTCTTATAGCTACATCTAAGTTAAGCTTATTATAATCATATTCATGAATGTGTATTATGCCGTGGCAAATCCAATTTTAAAATTCTCGTTTTGGGTGCTGCTGTGTTGGTTGGTCTTATGATTCGTACTCATATCCGTCTTAAAACCTAGTTCGTTGGCTAATTTGGAATAGATTTATGCGTGTTTTCAACTACCTTATTATATCATGGATGAACTAACTTGGACTCGATACATATTATGCTAGGCGAATATAATAAATACAGTATGTATAAGTATGTACAGTGCAGCTCTTAGGCCTACATTTGTTCGATTCTCCGCGATCCAATAGAAATTTTATATTTGAGCATTTTTAACTGCAGTTGGGTGAGGATCTGGGGAATGAGTATTTAGGTTTAACTAGGGTTTTCATATCAGCACTTATAAGGAACCCAGAATATTTGACTACAGAGAATGATCTTAGGTATGGCATCGGACTGCTAAGTTAAATTTATGATTTTGATTATATTGCAGCGCATATATATTCACATATGTAGTTCTTATTTTATGTTTCTAAAAGATTTTAGTTTCCAGAAGTGATGGCGTCTTTTTTAATCCCCAGATGTTTAATTATTTGATTTTTCAGAGCCAGTTGCTGGTAGATACTACCTATCAGTATACCTCGATTTCAAGACCCTAGTAGAATCTTTCGAACTTGGGCGGCTTGTTGAGTGCGCAGAAATAATACCCTGAATAGTTTTGTGTGGCTCCGGGTGGAGTGTAATCGCCGATGCCGTAGTTCCCGTAGTCGTAGTTGCCCATGTGGGCGTGGTGGTGATGGTGGTGCATATGGTGTGTGTGCGGGGGGTGGTAGTGCTGGAAACCGCCTGCACTGCGTGGCTTTTGTCATGTGAGGAGGCTGTTGCCACCCCCACTGCCGCTTCCGCCGGAGGACTCGCCCCCAACTCCGGTTCCACCATTGCTGCCATTGTTGCTATTGTTGTTGCCGTGGACGCGCATGTGCCGATTGAGATTTCCCGACTGCGAGAATCTGTGGGGAAAGGGAGAAGAGAAACCAATTAACTCGAGTCTCCGTATATACCTATCAGGTAATGGAACGCCCATTAAAGGGTTAAATTCTCAAAAAAAAAAAAATATTGGAATCGAACTAATTGTCGCCAGGAAACCACGTTTTAAAATATTTTATTTTTTTATGACTCTTCAGTATAGATTTATTTTTGAGAAATTTCAATATTATATTTAATTTTCTTTTTGAAAATGTTTTAAAAGTATGAAAAATAGCATTGAATCGGGCTGTCCCTATAACATT